CCCAATTCTACCTTACAAATCTGGCTAGACCAGAGGATGTACATTGTACAGATAGCAACTGGAATCTTTAAACAATTAAAAAAGAAAAGACAAGATGAAGTCTCCACTTGAGTAGAGGGTAAAAGCCAAGTCACACACTTTGTTTCCTTGGGGACATGTCTGCTGACAGACAATGATCACATTTCCATCAGTCACTCCTCTGTGTGTAAGAGCCATCTCAGGATCCCCGAGAGAAGTCCCAGGACCATTGGAAGAGGGGGCACATTTGAGATCTCTACCCGAAGTGGCAGAGGTGGTGATCAGAGGCACCAGAGGCTGTGGCACAGAGACCACGGGACAAAACAAAGGAGCCAGCCGCAGACCAGTGACCAAGTTAAGGAAACCATACGTCATATCAGAGGAGCAGCACTGAGACTATGGAACGTGAGGCTGAGGGCCAGTGGGCTTCCTGGTCCGTGGAAGGAGAAGCCAAAGACCCACGTGGCTGAGACGCTGAGGATGAGAGAGAGAGACTTGCCTCCTGGCTGAGGAGAGGTGTTGCTGTGGACTGTGTATTGAGCCTGACTGTGGTAACCTGTTACCTTCTCCAGTCAACCCCCACAATTGTGAGTTTTGTCTGTGAGTTCTGTGTGGCCATTGCAATGGATGATCAAACCCAGCATCGAACTAGAGAGCTGTGAGAGGAGCAGTTGGTGTCAGAATAGGGTCGAGAAGGATGCAAGGCAGAGGCATGTCTGACCTCTGCTTCGTGGCAATAGGAAAGCCAGAGAGGTTAGATTTGGCCCCCTCCACTCAGCTTCAATAATACTGCAGTGGTGGATAGATGATATTATACCTTTTCCAAAACACAGGACTGCACATATGAAGAGTGAACCCTCATGTAAAATACAGATTTTAGTAAATAAAAATCACCAGTATAACAAAGATAGCATAATAATGGCAATGTCACCTGAGTCAGAATTGACTCAAAGGCAACCAACAGCAGCAACAATGGCAGCTGTTCATGAAGGAGAGCTGTGCATCAAGAAGGGGCGATAGGAAAATGCTCTGGTCAGTTGCCATGGGATTAAAAAGCACCCTTGGAACTAATGAGCTCTTTGATTAAAAAAAATAACTTGGAAATGTGACCCAGATAGCCAACACCAAGACACAGTCTACCAAACGACTAGACTTTAAAGAAGGAAAACAAAGCAAACCCAAAACTTTCAGCACCTAGGCAGAGAAACTAAGTGACTCATTGGAAATTTTGAATAAAGCCTTCAGGGTCACAACAGGCCTCCTGGGAGAAGCACATGATTCCACTATGACATGGTCGTGCTCCCTCCTCCAAAATCCAGCCGGCATCAGCTCAAGCCACAAGGTCTAACTGCCAATGATGGAGAGCGAGAAGTAAACCCATTGGTTTAGGCACAGGGCAACTTTGCGTGTTAGATAAAGCGGTTCCATAGGACTTTCTTAGTGGTGATCTGTACGGAAGCAGGCCACTAGGTCTTCCTTCCACTGCCCCTGGAGACCGTAAGAAAAGAGACAACATGCTGAATGACAACACGGGGCTGTAACAGTGAAGTCTAGCCTGTGGGAATCAATCCTACAAGACAAACAACCAGGTTTGTTCCACAACAAAACCACATGCAGCAGGAGAACACAGAGATTAAAAGACTTCCGAGATATATGCTTTCATTCCAAGATAAGGGCCTTGCTTGGATCCCAACTCACACAAACTATCAAAAATATAATGAAATAAGAGAACAAACAAAACACTGACCTAGACCTAATGATAGTAAATATATATATTGCTATTTGGAGGAGGGTCAGTGATGGCGGTATTATCTAAAAGGCAGGAATCCTTGCAATCAACACATACAGAAATATTTACAGATCATTTATACCACTTTGGAGATTTGCTACAAATAATCCAAGGGGTGAAGCCTGAAAGTGTGAGGCCATAAATTGGTAACTGGCTGAAACTGGATACTTTTGTATTAATTGGGGAAATTCTGGAATAAAAGGGCGTTGGGCTTTTCCCATCATGCCATTGATTCCCAAGCATCCAGAAAAGTTAAAAGAACAGCATAGTCATCGCTCATGTAGCCACCAACCAGGCTTCACAGTGAACATTTCTGCTATGCTTGCTTTGCCATCCATCCATCCATCTAGTGCAGAGCAGTGATAAACATCTTCTTTATTATTCTGAACAAAAGATGGAAGATGTTCTAGATAATTTTGATGGTAATTTCCCTAGAGTATAGTTTCATTCTTAGAAATATTTCAAGGCCTTCAGCCACAACAAATCCCATTCTGACCACATGGCATAAATTAATCCCTGCCTTTCTTCAACTACAAAAGTAAGAGATGCTTGCAAGATTCCAGTCATGTAGAAACAGAGAGGAAAGAGCCTCCTCATACTGAGGGCTCCCAGCCTCCCAGGAGGCACATCAGAGGGACTAGCCTTGTAACCCCTGAAGCTGCTCAGCAGGCAGCCCCTGTCGCCCTCCCCTCCCCAGGAGGAACCACTGTGGGGGCGGGGGGGAGTGAAGAGATCCCAGAAATGCTGTCTCACCACACTTCCAGCTGCCATCGTCACCAATAAACTGGAGCAGGGCTCTCACAAAATCCTTGGCATTAAAACATATCACAGGGCGTTGAGATGTCAGGATTTGAAGCAGCACTTTCCTGGGATATGAAAAGAAATCAGTTGACTCAGACGTCCATCCATTTAGGACTTGAGACCTGGGGATTTTTCGCCTGGCTGTGGCTCTTCAGAGCTAGCAACCAGGCAGAGTTCTCGCTTCTGCAAGCTGTACACAGATGCACTCAGAGCTTCTTGGAGGCAGGGATGGCTTACCCTTGGCATTTACAGCCGTGGAAACCGAGATAGTGAGGGATGAGGGGCATCCCAGGGCCACACAGCACTGAGTGCCCCTTGCTGGGGAAACCCACATTCCCTAGCAGAGTATGGATTGTATGGCCCCGCTCAGCTCTCCCTCCACATTTTCTTTCCCCGGCACCAGGACAGGCCTCGTCCTTGCACACTTCTGGACCGCTGCACATACAGTAGTCATGCTGGAAATCCTCTGGCCATGACTTGGGCATGTTTCCATCAGAAAGGCCTGCCCTGGCTCCCCAGGCTGGTCCACTGACCAACAACAAGGACCCATGTTGCCCTGCCCTGGATTTCCTGCCACCTGTCCAGTTCCTTGATGATCAGGGTTTCTGTCACCAAGGTTTATCATGCATTGACCACGTGTGGGGAAGGTACTAAGCACATTGCCAAGTTGGCAGCATTGAAACCTCATCACAATCCTATGCACAGGCACCAGTCCGTTTTGCAGATGAGGAAATTGAGGCTCACAGAGGTTAAGCAACTTATCCCAGGTTATAAAACTGACAAGTTGGTAAAGCTGAAGTTCAGAGAAGTTTGAGGCCCTATCTGGCCACTGCCAGAGGCCAAGCTCTTAGCCATCAAGCTGTATCTGCCTTTACAGGAAATGCTTACTAATACAGTAACGAGACTCTCCAGAAAGAGCTGAGACAGGAAAAAAAACCAAGAGGCTGGCAGGCTCTGCTGACCAAGTTAGTGTGTACTTAGATTTAGCGTATCTGTGCTCCCTTTTTTTACATTTTCGTGTTTATTCACTTCAGCTTCCCTGGAACAGGTAAGCCAGGATCGTGGGAAATGCCAAGTGCTGATGGCACTGTTGCATGTCGTGACTCAGTTGGACTGGGGAGGAGGGTGTGCAGGAGGAGTGAGGTGCTGAAAGGGGAGACAGACAAAGGGCAGCTGGAGCTGCGATGATCTAATAACTACAGGTCCTTCAGCTAACAAGAGACAGACACTCACTGATTTCTAACTGGTAAGACAAACAGAAAGAACGCCATGTAATGGATACCACCCACCTAAGACAGGAACCGAAGTCAGGGCCACAATACAACCAAAGAGAAGGTCACATGGGGTACAGGCTTCAACCCAGAACAAGACGTCTCAGGATCTCCATGAACACATCCCTGCCTGTTCTAGAACTCGGGTGAAATACGTCTTGCTCATTTTCACAGCCTCCGGGCTTTGACATTAGTAATGTCCTTCATGGTCATGCAGACAGTGCACTCACTGGTGGGAGGCAGGGTTGCCGTGAGTAGGTGAGGAGACTCCTCTGAGGACCCAGCTGTGAGGGGAGCTGGGTTTCCGGCCCCGGAACCGCACACTGTGAAGCTGACTCAAACCCTGGACAGGCTGCAAAGTAGGCTGTGGAATGGCTCCCCAGAAGTTCCTGGGGGAGCAGGTCAACGCGTGCCGAGGGTTATGGGGTGACCCAAGCACCTTTTTTTGGTCTCTATCATTAGTGTATTTGGGATACCTTTTATTTCACACATATCTGTGTAAAACATCTAAACATTGAAATAGTGAATCAGTGTTCGGAATTTTTTTATTTAGGCAAAATCCAGCACGTACAAGGGGGCTTCAAAAAGTTCATGAGGGGACTCAGGACCAATAATGAAAGTAGCGATACCAGGAGGGTAGGGGCAATGTGGGGGGATAAAGGCGGAACCGATTGTAATGATTGACATATAACTCCCCCTTCCTAGGGGGATGAACAACAGAAAAGTGGGTGAAGGGAGACAGTGGATGATGTAAGATATGAAAATAATAATATTTATAATTTATCAAGGGTTGATGAGGGAGGAAGGGTGGGGGAGGGAGGAAAAATATGAGGAGCTGATACCAAGGGCTCAAGTAGAAAGAAAATGTTTTGAAAATGATGATGGCAACATATGTACAAAAGTGCTTGACACAATGGATGGATGGATGGATTGTGATAAGAGCTATAAGAGCCCCCAATAAAATGATAAAAAATGTTTATGAGGGGAAA